CTACTTCCTTCATGAATGTCCGAGAAGGAACGTGCTGCCAGCGAGTACAAACCACAGACCGGCGCTAAACCATCCAGCCGCCTGGAATTTAGCAAGACAATACGGGAGACGCATGATCAAACTGATGATAACAGATGCCCACAAGCGCCTACGCAAATATGAGAAAGTCATAATTGACAATAGAACCAATTGCCGCCGTACTATTGACCCACAGCTACGATCAGGGTTGGAATCCGCAATTGAACGTCGAGACAAAAACGCAAAGAACCGATGCAAGATTGTATTGAACACAAAGTTAGACAAATTGACTAAGAGAAATGACTGCACTAATAGTGAAGGATGGATCAAAAACCTTTCACGCCGACACCTCACTGCAACTGAACAGGAGGTATTGATTAAGGGGCTCAACTTCAACGTCAAAGATGCTTGTCCCAAAGACTAATTGGCTAGCTTAGGACAAGCATTGAAATCAAATGGACTGTCGGAGGAGTCCCAGCAACAGATACGGCAGACAGTTGTTGCAGTGTTAACTGGGAATAAAGTCATCCAGATTCTAGCCAAGGAGGAACTGGATGCACTCAGACGTCTACAGAAAGACGAGAACATTGTAATCCTACCAGCGGACAACGGGTGCATGACAGTGATAATGAACAAACCGGAGAATATTAACAAGGCCAAAGAACTGCTATCCGACACAACTACATATCGCCAGATCGATCAAGATCCAAGTTCAAAACTGGTGAAACAGATCAACGCAACGTTGAAGGAACAACAAACAAAAGAGCTCCCCGCCACGGAGAGATGGAGAATGAAGGCTGATGTAACAAACATTACACGGTTCTATGGACTACCAAAAGTACACAAAAATGGAGTCCCACTACGACCAATCGTCTCGATCCCCGGAACGCTTATATAAGCTAGCGATGGATTTGTAGAGAAGGATGAATCATTCGATTGCTGGATCCGAACATAGCATCAACAATGCTGAACAATTCTTCAACGAAATAATGCTTTCATTCGATGTCACCGCACACTTCACTTCAATCGGTCACGAATTGGCCAAAGAAACCTTGATGGAACTACTTGAGAATCAACGAAGCCCAACGACAACCATACGACCTGAAAGTTTTTGGGAAATCCTGAACCACTGCATGACCACTTTTTCCCGCTTTGATGGACAAGTGTACCAGCAACTGAGAGAAACACAAATGGGATTCCCAATTTCAGGGCTCATTGCAGAAGCCGTAATGCAGAAATTGGAATGCAATGCACTGCCATCAATCGGCCCAAAACTATGGATGCGCTAAGTGGACGACACATTTGTCATCGTAAAACGGAACAGAGTACAGGCCACGCACGATCTGCTCAACAGCACATTCGAGGATATCCAAATAACGATTCAGAAGAGGATAACAAATTACCATTTTTGGATGTACGGGTCACTAGGAATACAGACGGATCTCTGCAAACGTGCGTATATCAGAAGAAAACACATACGGATCAGAGATTAAACTACCACGCGGCTTGTGCTTACGGTGTTCGTGTGGAGCACCGTATTGATGGTGGGCTACTGAACATCCGCCGTTTCGGTGCGAGAACGTGTGGTCGCGAGTGCCTGAGTCAGGCAGGCCTAGTGAGCCATGAGTGAGGCCACTTGGAGCCACCACCGAAACGACGACGGGTCCTGTTGAGAACGTAGACAGAACCGCGCAGCGCATGTAAGCACGTTGCATTCGATTAACTAACCAAGTACTTGCATGCTGAGTCGCTTTATTTCAGGTGGTGGGATTGCTATATTGTCCCATTACTAATTAATATTTACGTCTACCTGAACTATCTTCTATAAACGTGAACACATCCCTTAAACTACTTTAGTTGACGTCGATAACATTTTCGCGTTTTTGGAAATAAGATATATTTTCTGACGTCTTGAACTTATCGCGGATTTGTTCACAACCAATTTAATTCATATGCTTATTGAACAGTTAGGTCACCATATCAATATGCAATATTCAATTTATTTTATCTGATATCGTCGTTTCAAGTGATTGGCTGTTGCTTTATATCCCCGGTGTGGCTGCGCTTGATGTGAATGTTGACAATGTGCCTACCTGTCTATTACCCACTATCACGTCCATACTGGGACCAGGAGACTGTTAGTCGTTGCTGGAGGGGATGAGGTGCACGGTCCTAGTGATCGTGCTACGCTCGAAGAGTGGTTCCATGCACTCAGAATGGATCGGACTACGGTCCAGCCACCGTCTTGCGTGCACTTGATTCCCCAAATACAGCGTGCTTGTGTTTGCCTGTGAAGGAGTGTGCACCGGCTCCGCTGATGGAATGTGGCTCCCATCCACATGCCTCCCGGTCTTATTCCTTCGGGTTTACACTGGATATGAAATGTGTGGTTGGAGCTGTGGGTAGTGCAGTGCAAGCCACCTATGGTCACTCTGTAGGCGCAGGCGTCCTGTGACTGGCCACAGTGACAAACAAATACGAAACCGGATGCCGCCAACCATATATATATATATATATATATATATATATATATATATATATATATATATATATATAGCCAAACGGATGTAAACAAACAGTCAGGATAAGTGCTTACACCTTGACAACAATGCACCATGAGAGCCAAATCTCGACAAGACACCTTTATGCGGTTGCCGATGCTCCGCATTGTACGTTACAGTACTATGCAAAGAACTTTGCACTGTATACGGAGCAAACAAGAGGCTAGCTAGGAATGGGCTCCAGATGTGTCACAGGTGTCAGTCCTCATCTATGTTCCGCAAGGACTCCAGCCAAGTACAGGGTAAGGCGCATTGACCGCAGTCTGGATAGTGAGAACGACCGACACTAGGCAACTTAGTTATCGGCCGATGCAAAATCAACGATTGCCAACTCGAGCCCTACATCATCCCAAATTCGTTAACTAAAAAAATGTGCCGTCAAAATTACAGTTCATCGCCGGACACTAAGCCAGGTGACGCGACGAGCTGTGCTTCAGGCTAACGGTCGAAAGGTGAGACCGAGTCCAGGAAACCACTATAACACGGGGGCAGTTTGTTTACAGGCCACCGGGTATTGTCACACTAGTTAGCGATAACCAATAGCTGAGGAACAGCATGTAGCGCAGGTTGTGTGGAGGCTATAACATAAATAAGTAAAATCTCTACGTCAAAGGAGTTTTCTAGAATGAGTGCTTGCATAAAACCATTAACTGTAACTTGGATCCGGCCAATAGGGTGTCGACGCAGTGACTTAAGTCTGCGATTGTGATTTGATCATCCAGTATAGTCGAAAATGTAAAAAATGATGACAAACACTAATAACTAAATACAGGATGAGTGTGGATGAATACAGGTGGACAGCTGCGAAACTCAGTCGTGCTAGGTCGAACGACTTTTAAGTCAATTAAGCTGAAGCATAAATTGGGACTTTTCGAATGCAGAGACAAGATCGCCTATAGGTGTGACCTCTAAAACAGGACTGTTGTGGTAAGACTAGGGGGGCAAGAGTTTCTGTAACATATCGCATTCTAAGAACATCACTAAAAAATACTAAGCATCAAGATTGATAGTCAGTGGGACGCCAAAACCGCTCAGGTCGAAGCACTCATTGGACTGAGATTGGTGAGCAGGAAACCGCAATCAAAATCCCTGTCTTGTTGTCAAATGAAGGCAAACAAACCGGGCCAACATGTAGCTCAGAAGCTGTTACACATTAACCGTCCGATGCAAAAATACTTCGAGAAATCGATCATCAGCTAAGCTGACGTGTGCCGTGTCTCTAAAACGTACATGCAATATGGTTGGCAGCATCCGGTTTCGGATTTGTCTGTCACTGTGGCCTCCATACGACAGCCACATGACGCCTGTGCCTACAGAGGGACCATGGGTGGCTTGCGCTGCACCACCCACAGCTCCAACCACACACCCCATATCCAGTGTAAACCCGAAGGAGTAAGACCGGGAGGCATGTGGATGGGAGTCACGTTTCATCAACGGAGCCGGCCCACACTCCTTCACAGGCAAACACAAGCACGCTGTATTTGGGGAACCAAGCGCACACAACGCGGTGGCTGGACCGTAGTCCGCGCCACACTGAGTGCATGGAACCGCTCTTTGAGCCTAGCACGGCCACAAGGACCGTGCACCCCGTCCCCTCCAGCAACGACCAACTGTCTCCTGCAGCCAGTATGGACGACGCAGTGGGTAATAGACAGGTAGGCACCCTGTCAACATGCACGTCAAGCGCAGCCACACCGAGGAAATCAAGCAACAGCCAATCACCTGAAACGACAAGAGGAAATAAAACAAAGCCAATAATGCATACAGATGCGCTGACATAACCTTCGCTAAATTAGCATATGAAGTAAGTTGGTTAGCAACGAATCCGCGATAAGTACAAAATGTCCACAAGTTGCTCAAAAATGCTGCAAATGCAATAAAGTTAACGAATATAACCACAATTAGCGTAAGCAACGTGGCCATTTAATAGAAGATTATTCATGTAGGCAGAACAAACCAAATAAAGTGGAGTGAAAAGTATCCAGTTTAAGTGTGAGTTGGCCAATATAGTATCTGTGTAATCGACATCATAACACGATACTCGGATACTAGTGAGGAGAAACGCTCCGTAGGGGTGTCTACAATGCTCAGTGTAGTTAGCAGCCGAGTGTGATTATGAACTAATGGACCGCTCGTCGTGATGGCTTGTTAGTCAGGGAAATATCTAAAAACGGCCGAATGTGACTAAGGTTCTGTAAACAGACTGTGAGGAACCAATAGCCCCCGGAGAAACGAACATAGAATGGTCCGATATTTAATCTTCGCTGAGTAAAAAGAGCAGCCACATGCACACAATGGTGGTTGAGAGAAATACCTGTCATATCAACATGATCACATTCCAACGAATCAACGCAGTGCAGGGGAACAAAAACATGAGTATAATGATAAAGCAAAATACATTAAGCAGTGCTGTTGTCAAACCTGTTGGAGCATGCGAAGGTCGGGTGAATAGACCCAAATCCTGGTCAACATGATCAGCTGTTTTTTGGTAACTCCCAAGAGAAGCCCACAGCCGCGATATTGATTCATCGGGGTACGCGCCTGAAGATGTGTCAGTATTTGCTTTCGAGTAGCTGCTATCAAATGCATTGGTTCCATGATAGACTGACTATTCGTATAGGGCGGAGGAGGGAAGGAAAACATAAATCCATTAGATGTGAGACGTGATTTAGAGCTGTGTTACAAATCTTGAATGAATGTAGGACTGCCAAGAAGGGGCGAATCGGAAACTTACTCAGAAACGTCAATGGACAGCATGGTTAATGTGAGTACATAGAATGTCCAGGTTTTCAATATCTCGTTGAGTTAAGCGCATACTATTCAGGAACCTGATAGAACAGGATGAATGCCTCCGAAATATTCGAAAAAAATGATAAAAAAGATTCAACTGGATTCAGCTCAAACCGATGTGTTTCTCGGTGACCACAGGGGATCTAAGCAACGATATGCAATGATCACGGTACAAATTAAAGGTAAATCACAAGCGAATTGCAGGGAATACACAAGCATATCACGAAGCGAAGATCAACAGTAAAAGACGTCTATAGAGAAAGATACCGTCATTCAGAGAGTACTGAAAACAGGGAAAACCAGGGTAATCTGCGGAAACTGATGAAAGCAACATGTAAGGCTAGTGAGGTTGAAGGTACTGTATGAGGGTTAATAACCGCGCACATAAAATCGCTCTTAAAAACTGTGCACGCCTATGTGTGGGTCAAATGGTGAGTTAGTCGCATACATTGATTACGTGGTATGGGAAATGAATGTCAGCCGTTTGGAGTCCAGTCTAACTTGACAGCCGAATTGACACGCGGTGGTAGCAGTGCACGCAAAAAAAACGGTTTAGAACACTTTATATGGAAGAAGGATCAGGATAAAATTCATCTTAGTCTCCGATACGTAACCGGTGGGAGCACGTACAGTACCGATGAACATCAATATGTGTCTTCAAACATTGTCAATTGCGCTGAGGGAACATATACTGTAATTAAATCGAAAGGACTGTTTCCAGACATACTGGCTGATGCGATACCGACACTATAAGCACTTCGGATCACTAACTCAGAATCGCCGGAAACGAGAACGGTGCACTCACTATCACTGGAATGTAAAGCTAATGGATGAAGGCTCGAAATGATGGGTTCTCTGTGTGCGTTTCAGATACCGCATGTGGCAGCCGCAATAGAGCAAAAAGCGACAACCGGTGTTCAATTCTGGCCGACCGAACAAAGTGGGCACGATGAACGCGTGAATGCGAAACGGGACTCTGGTTTAGGCGGTCACGAAACGCACTGAGTTGGGTTACAAAACCAGTGGTAATTCTTCGCCAGTTAACCTTAGAAGCGGTACATAAACTGAAGATGAACGGAGAAAGAAAAGGAAACACCAATGACGGTTATGGGATCAAATAATGCCTATCGATAGCCTATTGCGAGAGAATTCTGAATGAAGACATCAACAGCTGGCAGTGCAGATCCGATTCAGCTCCAGAGCACGACTACAAAATCCTACGAGGACCCATTTTAGGGCAAGATACATGCAGACCGATCGGGTTAAGAACAACTGGCGTACACTTTCTCAACCAATGTCACCGACTAACGACAGTAGTGACCAAGGGTGAGTTTGCGGAGTTCCCAGGCGCCAAGGGCCGTCAGAATAGAGGCGAACTGTAACAAACCAGATGGCTAAGCTCTTCCATCATTGTGGACACCCGTTCGTACCCGTACGCTATAACAACGGAACCGCAGGCTGTTGCCTCCCGTAACCCGGTTATGATAAAAGGGAGCCAGGGATTCCTCTCTGCATCTCAAGAAGATACTGCTGGCACACAATTTAGCTGACTCTGCCAAGTGCCTATAGGTTAAATGAAAGGTGACCCAGGTCGTACAATACAGATCACTAGGACCTAGCCTCAATGAAATGGATGGTGTCCAGTGGTCGACTCTCTAAGCGCTTCGATAGATTGTCCAAGGGTTAAGATGCATAAGCCAATCAAAGTGAAAAATAGCACTGCATACGAAAAACAAGCAGTGCTTACTCCCACTTATCTACCAAAGAGCATAAAAAAGCAAAAGGCATTCGGTTTCCCAAACATGCGCGGGCCGTCGGCCGTCAAATTTGGTTGAAGTCGAGCAAAGTAGATACAATAACTGGACTGTTATAATCAGAACATTTGAAAACGACATGAAGAAAGATAAAGTAAAGGCTTGTTTGACATACATTGGGGTCCTGAAGGGATATTGGACGGTTTGCATAACAATTCACCGAGTACAACGATCCCGATAAGGGCGGATGTGAAGCGGCGTACTCCACAAAACTTCTCTTCAACGATTCCACTCGGCTACGACGTTGCGCAGTTTTGTGTTCAAAATCAAACGATGAACACAATAGTTCATCCTCACTGAAAACGCATGAATATTAAAAAAGGTACATATACCTCACTTTCCATTCAGTGACGTGCGAGCCGAGGGAGAATGCTTCAGGGGCGTCAAAAAATTCGTCCTCTGAATCCATTAAGATAAATCGCCGCAACACATTGAGACGGCAGGAGTTGATTGCCAGCAAAATTGGCAAATTGAGGAAAGTACAGTTTCATGCCAATCATGAATAGAAGTGGCCGTATGATTACTAATCTTCATAACGTATGAACAGATCATCGAGAGGCAGTTGCAACGACTAATAGTAAAACAGTTGTATCGCAATACTGCGGCATACAGCAATAACAAGAAGTGCAACAATCGCAACGAGCTGGAAGGTAGATAGAAGACGACTTTTAGTTGAGAAAAAAATTGGTTAGGCTCGGTGAAGCAGACGGCTAGTGGAAGCGATCCTGATTACGCAGACTCCCTTGAAAGTCCTACAAAAGACAGGAGCACGAGGTAATGAGAACAAACAGAGATGGTTTTCTGCTTGACGAACGCCACCAGGTCAGCCCAATGATGACAGGACGTCATCAACGACCCATCTTGCAAACGGAGTCGGGTGCTCGTGCATCATGTGAAGAGGCATAAACACTATGCCAATATGTCGGTAACGAGGCCTCGCTGTTACGCGAACACCAGTCGTTTGCGAGTTAGGTATCCCGCATCTACGCAGATTCGAACCGGTGTTCTATGGAGTACAAGGCAGACAGCGTAAACCAACAGACGACCGGCCGACGCGCGATGTTGTAAGCGGGGACAACCACAAAGTTGCCTTTAATTCTACCTTCAAGGAACAGCGTACGCAGCAATAGAGCCTTGTAGATACCATAGGCAGCAAGTCGCGGGACGCGGAGATAAAATAATATGCTGCAACCGCAGAGTATAGACGCACAAACATAAACGAGGTCCTGTAAGGCACAACTTATTTGATGATTTCTAGGGGGTCGCCAATGACGTTGATGAGCAGAGCCACGTAACGCAGTCAATTGGTCGCATACTTGACGAATACCGTCGGTCTCTGGTGAGCTTGTCGAGACGTCCATACAAAGCAACAGAGTGAGAGTCGGAACATGAGGATCTTGGTGCGTTTTAGTGGTATTAGTATCACTCAACTGAAGGATAGTCAACAGCGCAGTGACCTAGTATAAACAGTTTTTGCTGCATCCTCCACTATTTTACGAACCAGGTTTCCTTAACTGATTTCAATACTGGCCGGAGTATCTAGACAGCCTCTCAATATATGTTCGATCGCCTTCTATGGTTGGTGATAGCAGAAGACGTTACGAAGGCGGGGCCGATAAGTTTGAGCAAGGCACACACATCCAGTAGATCCGAAGTTGTGGGAAATGGACAAAGGATATGGACAACTCGTAATTTTGTAGCAGTAGAAGAGTGCAATGGAACGAGTGTTGCATCTAAGTTCGATACGAAGGAACGTTGAGAAACGCCAGGCGAAGTTAGGGATATCAATGGTCAGTAGAGAAATCCAAGGCAGTAATGTCACTAATGTTTGACGCGCCTTTTGGGACGTGCAAGGAACGGGATGAAAACCATATCAATGGGAACAAAGCGGCTCGCTGAGATCGGCATTGGCTCGAAGAAGGGAACGGAAGAGCAGAGAGTATAGCTGACTGGAAGACAAAATCAGTGCAATTGTGACTGGACATAAGACGTAGGTGAACAAAACAGGAAACATGTCTCGTTGAGTTTGTGTAGATCGACGCCATGTATCAGCGGTTTGGAAAGCTAGCTTTAATTCAGTTTCTTGAAAGTTAATAGTCTCTATTACTTGCTTACCCATTAGAAGGAGAAATCAATCAGTAGATTTGCTGATGGACCAACCACCCACAAGTCAAGAGAATAAATGGACATAAGCAACTCACAAATCATGTCGGCCGGATATGGAGCACACAAACCGTAGAATTCCATCATGATGGCAGTAAAATGCGGATTTACTTATTGTCTCCGAGACAATGCATTTACCAACCGACAACCGATGATGGTTGATAGCCGCTTGCGATGTCTTTGATGGGGTTTATGGAATAACAGCTATATAGGTTTGAAAAGGAGAATGGTTAAGTTAAAACTCTCAGGATCAGTGCTACAGACAGGCAGGAAGAGAAATGGAAATGCGCAAGTAAATAAACATCCCAAAAACGCAAAAATTGCCTTGGATTGACAAATACCGACCCGAGTTTTGGCGACGCAGATAGAGAAACCTCTTTTCTGATAATGCCGCCAGCAGAAACAGCTCCCAAGGTAGAGGAAACAGTCTATTTATTCGAGCAGTGCATCTTCAAGAAAGAGCATGGGAGCAGACGTGGGACAATATTGGAGCAGCACTTTACACATGAAGGAAGAGAAGCACATAAGAAACGGATGCTTTAGCCGCCAAAAGATTCAGTGAGTTGAATACTCTGTGGGTCGGCAACAAATAAGGTGGTATCATCAGCATTGTCTAGGCCGGTCGTGCGAGCACCTGACAGTAGCTCTAAGCCAAAATTTTGAAAGTCTGGAGCTCTCCGCAGGACGTATTCAATTGCAAAATTGAACAGGAAAGGAGACAGACGATATCCCTGTAGTACACTGTTACTGACAGCGAAGAAGGAAGAAAACTTGCGGTAGAACCGCCGGAGATATGAAGACATAGTGAACCCATGATAATAATAATAATAATAATAATAATAATAATAATAATAATAATAAATAATGTGTCAGCTGTACGCCGTAACCGAGCTTCGCTGCCGCGCGACCACCACCAGTCGCGCGCGGGCTGAGTATACCGCGAGGACGTCCACCCCTACGCGGATTCGAACCGGTGACCTTATGGTTGCAAAGCAAAAGTGCAGACCACTCGGCCACCGGCCGACCCATGATGGCAGTATATCATTCTGGGACCCAGGTTTCTAGCAAACAACGCCAAAAAGCAGGTTGATCAACCGAGCCAGATGCAACCAAGGTGCTTAGAAATGCAACAATGGCAAGTCGATGGTTAGGGTGGCGCTGTTAGAGGAGTTGGTGGAGCGTAAACATTCGATCGACATATTCATGGCCAGGGAGAAAATCAGCCTGTTCTGTATGAGACAGAGATTCATGAACTGCGGATAATCTAAAAGCTTAGAGGCAACGGAAATGAGACAAATCCCTCGGCGCTGGAAAGGTGACCGCTTTTCCTGGAAATCGGGATAAGTATCGATTCACCCAAAGAGGAAAGCCCCCGGGCATTCGAGCTGTGTAGACGCTCACTGAACGCTGTTGGAAATCACTGATAGCATGTTCACTAGACGTTACTTGTAGCAGGCATGATTTCTTAAGATAAATCGGATTACCAACCTGGATATTGGGTCTCTGCGCAGTCTCTGGAAATCCTCTATGCTTACCGACGCATTCCGCCTGGGCGAAAAGAGAGACTCGAGAACATCTGACGGCTAAATTGCGTGCTAGTCTGAAAAAAGACCGCGAACCAAGCGGTTTCAGCGTGCATCGCAAATGAAAACAGCTGCTGCCCTTGTTAACTGTCGGAACTTACTCCGTGTGATCCGCGAAACGGGCAGCAGGAGACTTGGTGTTACTGAAGGCAATGAACAGTAGAAGACAGATGGGATGACCCTTGCCAGCTTCATCACTTCCGATCAGTGTGAAGATGGCGCGTGTAACAGCGAAAGAGAATGTCACAGTGGGTGAGCACAATTTCACAGCTAACAGCAAGATCCCGACACATTAAGCAAGTGTAAATCCAACAGCTTCTAGAAATTTTTATCAGTAGAAGCACTGATCACAGCCTCCGGTAAGTTGTTCCAGTCTTTCATCGCTCGGGTGGATAAAGTGATCTAGACGGACGTAGAGCCTCCTCGGTTTAGAGTTTCCGGCTGTCTCGAGAGATGAACAATCTCTGTTGAGCTGGAAGAATTGTTGGAGATCACTAGAAGAGTCGCCTATGAGTGTGCGTCCTGTATAAATCAGGTCTCCACGACGAGGACGGTAGACGAGAGAGAACAAATTCATACGCTGGAGGCGAACAGAATAAGACAAGTTTCGAAGCACTGAGATTATTTTGAATCTCGCCGCTGAACTTTTCAATCAAATCACACTCGAACTTAATGCGTGGGTAACTTGCCGGTAAGCCATACTCAAGGATGGAGCGCGCATGTGAGACAAAGAAGTTTGTAGATATCAGGAGTCATCCGAGAAAATGACCTTATAGACCAAAGTATCCCGTTGGATGTAGCGACTTTCTTCATCGTATCGTGGGTTGTTCAAAGTTCAGAGGACACGATTACACCAAGATCCTTTTCTCGAGGCATTTGTGAGTAAAGAGCCACCGACGTGGTAGATTCCGAGTGGTTCAAAAGCGCCAATCAGGAGAATGAAACACTTTTCGCGGTTAACAGTTAAGCCCCAAGGACTGGCCAGTCATACAGCATTTCAAGGGTCGCCTGCAGACTGTCAGCATCATCTATGTTGTCAACCTCCAACCACAGCTGCAGATCAACGGCGCAGCATGAAGGCAGTCACCATGAAGCACAGTCAGATGGTCACTGATGAAATTTTTAAATAGTTCCATGCCGAAGACAGAACCTGGCGGCATGCCACTAATCATTGGAACGAGTAAAGAGAAGAATGTATTGACCTTTACTCGCATTGTACTTCTTAGAAAATCAGCAATCTAGGAAGGAATTCCCAAAGATGCCAATATTCGAGAGCTCAAAAAGGAGCAGTTCATGTGGGATTTTATCGAATGCTTTGCTGAAGTCAACGAAAACAACGTCCAGGCGCTTCCGGCATCTAACAATTTCGCCCACTTTTAGTGATGAGCAAATTCGAAAGACAGGAACGGTTCCTTCTAAACCCATGCTGAGCAGACGAGATGAGATGTAGATCTTCTAAATGCTGTTAAAGAGAGCGCTTAGGAATCCTCTCCAAGACCCTACACACAAGTGAGGTTAAGCAAACTGGTCGGTCATTAACTGGATTCTGCCGATCTCCGCTTTTGTATATGGGCTTCACAATGCCCAATTTCCAACCAAGAGGCAGCCGACCAGCTGCAAGAGAGAGCCGAAATAGTTATTAGAGAGGAGCAGCGATGTATTCCGTCACGAGCTTCAGGAAAAAAGAATGTAAGCCATCGGGGCCCGGCGAGGAATTAACATGCATTACACGAAGTAGCTTCAAGACCATCTCTGTACTGATTCCCGCGGACATAGGAGGGGAGACAGAAGGGAGTGAATGTACATACTCTCGGAGAAACGGTATCTCGACTAAGTAAACTGAAGAATACTGCGAAGCAAATAGCTCAGCTTTAGCATAGTCGTCATGCAGTACGACG